ATTTCCAGTAATGGAACCAATGAAAAATGTGCTATACTTTCCCTCTATATGGTCTAAATTAACATAGTAACTTCTTTTAATAATTTTTTTAAATGTATGAAGTCACAACTGCATATTCTGCTTTGTTTTTCTGTTGTGTATTTAGTTCAACCACTTTATCCAAGGATCAGAAATGTTACAACAGCTGCTGCTGAGACCTATGCCAATATCAGTTGGGAGTATGAGGGACCAGATCATGCGAACTTTTATGTTGAATATGGTGTAGCAGGCAGTAAGAAGTCATTTCATTAAATTCTGCTAAAGTTTTGAGATGTATTTTGAAAGATTTTTATAGTAAATGGGGTCTTAAATTGACCCAGTGTTGATGATAGCTCTTAAATGTCTTAAATTATTTTATAATTTGATCAGGAAGATCAAATAATTTTCATTTTAATAAACATCAATGTTTAGCAGGTTTTTGATAAATAGATAAATATGAACCTTTGTTCCTTTGTATTATTTTATAAATTCTTTTGATCGTGAACTTCTGAAAACATAGTTTGCCTGAAGTTGTTTATCGTGAAGCTGTTGTTTATCATGTATTTTTACATGTGTAAAAATACGATTACTGGCATTAAAATAGGATACAAGGATTTTCCTAAATTATGCCCAATTCAGGAAAGAAAAAAGATTAAATAATATATCCTTTGTTAAATTAAACCTTAAAATAAGACATGAAACAATTTATGTGCTCTTACTGCCTAAAACCAGGTTTAAAACTTTGATAATACTGGTAATAATGAGAACAAAGTTAGCTAATAAAAGCAAGATACTTCTTTTCAAATACCCCACCCTTCTAAAGTTATGAGTAAAGGTGACTAATCTGAAAATTGGAATAGAAATGCATTTTTCTGGATATTGGCCAAAGAAATAGCTGAGACTGTCCTAGAAAAAAAATACAAGAGATATTCAGACTTTGAAGTAGAGCTTCTTGGCCAAAATAAATATGGACTGAAACTGTAAGTGTCATTTAATAAAATGACTAAAATGTATTTTAATGTATCTCATAATTACAACTGCAATAAGCATTTTAAAAATAAATTAAATTTGTATTCCTTTAGTACAATGGAACAAATGTTTAAAATAATTTCATAATTACTGTACAATGAATTCTTCAATATGTTGCATGCAATTTATTACTCATAATTTCATATAATTATTTTTTGAGAGAACAGCTATTTTTCTCAGATGATCCATAGTTTAGTCAAGTAACTGTCAGTAGTATTTTGTCTAGAAACTTTCAGTGATACAGATAAAATTAAAATACCGATTTGTTGTTTTCCTAAAATTTTTATAGGCAAAGAAGATTGGAAAAAAGAAATTGTAAATGGTTCTCGAAGCTTCTTTGTCTTAAAGGGTTTAACACCAGGAACAGCATATAAAGTCCGGGTTGGTGCTGAGGGCCTGTCTGGTTTTAGGAGTGCAGAGGATGTGTTTGAGACAGGTCCAGGTGAGGCGCACTGTACCGTAGTACATTTCTGTATCCTAGCCAGAATCGTGTTAGACCAACTGCTGGAATGCTAAACTGCTTCTAGCCAAGAGATGTTGCAGCTAGAATCTTTGCATGTTCCTTTTATAGAGCAATGTTAAATTATTTTATAAATGCCTAAATAATAATGCCAGTTTATTTATGTTTGAATTATGAATGTTTCCATCCTTTCAAATTGCTCTACTTGACTGATGTTTGTACTGGGGCAAGATATGCCCTACCCACACTCCATCTGTGTGCTGTGCACTGAAGATGACCTATTTCTAATATTTGTAATTAGTATAATTTCAGGGCTGTATTTAAATAATGTTGCTTTTTATAGAGCTAAAATATTTGCATAATCGGAAAGTGCAGATTCAGTTTGATGTCTCAAGTGATCTATTTATACCAGTGTTAAGACATTCCTACTTGTAAATCTCTCTTTTCCTGCCATATAAAAGTTTTATATGGATTTTGATGTCACACATACATCCTGGGAATCAATAAGGCTGTTTAAGTTCCTTATGTTCATACTGCAGTCTTATTTCTTTGTAAGCAAATCAGCAATGCCTGCCAATTACACTCAGGAAAAAGATTCTATTGGAAGTTCTTTGATATTATGCTGAATATTGTGTTGCCATCACATGCCATGCCATCATCATGTTCTTGGATAGCTGTTATTATTTTTCTCTTTGCTAGCCACTTCTGCTCATTCCAAGCATTTTAGCCAGTGCATAGTTATACACCAGTACCTCACCAACTCCAGATTGTTATGTTACAAGAAAGTAATTTAAATATCAAAATACACTTGAACATTACGTTATAACTATCAGGCAACAGCATTGGTAATGGGTATGCTGGTTTGAAAGTGAGCACTTTCTAAAATCATAATTTTTTGCTTTGATTTGTTCAACTTCTGTTCACAGTTTATCATGTTGCAGGAAGGTTTGAAAACATGGTGCTGAATAACAGTGAATAACAGGCAAATACGCACAGGCTGAACACAAAGCCAGGAACAGCTAGTGGTACAAAAGCCTACCTGTGAAATGTTATACAAATACACATCTGAAGCATAAAGGAGCAGTAAATAAGGATCAAGACTGTAATATAATTCAAAACAAGCTGCATAGAAAGCTTTCCAAAAGCATATTCCTGCATAAAAAGTACTGAGCCAGTAGATAAGGATTCCTGTACTTACCCAGTCATGTTGACTCATGCCCTTGTGTAATTAAGGAAGAAGGGACTTTAGACACTCCTTTCTACTTCTTGATAATGGAAAGTTTCAATGTTCAGCATGAAATTATAAACAGTCTATTTCTTACAGAAAAATCTTGTGTCACACTGTCTTCAACCTAGGTCAAAGCTTTTAAACACTGCAAAAAGGTGGAGTGGACAAAGAGGCAAACACTGGAATATGTCCTTATTAGGAATGAAACTTTGATATTTCAAATATGAGGCTTTTCCCACACTTTTTTCTTTGACAAGCATTCCTACAGAGCATCTTCACAAGTGTGCAGGTTTATCCTTTTGGGCATTCCCAAAAGGATAAACCTGCACAATGTTCTGTATTGACTCCTGCATTAGTGGTTCACCAAGATGCAAGGTTTTTCTGCCTGAAGCAAATAATTTGCTTAGTGTAGGCAGGAAATGTGCCATTTTTAAAGATGCACAGAGATTTAGAAACCCCTTTCCTACTGGGAAAGCTGTAAGTTAATACAGGAAGCTGCATAAGTAAGTTTTCATCTTCCCATCTATCTTGCATATTTTTATGCAGGAATTTTTGGCTTGATTCTATTTCTTACTACATTTGAATGTGAATTGTGCTTTTGCATTTTGTTACAGTATGTATTATACAACATCTAATGTCCTATTATGGATGCAGATGCACAAAACTCAAAATAATTTTAACCTTAATATAAAAATAATTTTTCTTTTATTTTCACTTGTAGTTCAGAGGAAGATTACTTTTGTGATTTTTTTTAATTGCCACTTTTTAATATTTATATATATATACATATTTATGCATATTTATATGTAGCATAAAGAGTAGAAATATTTAGGTATATAAACTGTATATGACATGTAGAGACTTTGATGCAAAAACAGTTTAAATTCTTGTGCGTATGAGAGTCACTTTCTACAATATCAGAAAACATAAACAAGGACTGAGAAATCTGCTGGTTGTATCTCCACAATAACCGGGCACATTAACTCACTGAATTATTTAAATGAAAATCAAGTCAGCTTTGCCCAGTGAGACCAAAAATAAGCATTTAAAGAGAATTAATTTTAGCATAGTACTTCTAAAGTGGAAGACACTGGTCTTCTGTATGGAATGGACCGGAGATACTGTATCCAGACATTGGAAGTACTTTCTACTTTCCATAGAATCCCTCAGGAATGTGGGACCATTGGCTGCTTTTCCAAGATACCTGTCTCACACTCCTTAACTAGAAAATGACACTGAGACATTGGCTTGAATTCTGTCAGTTGAGCAGCTATTCACAGAGTTTCATACTCTTTGGTTTTGTGTCTGGAGAAGAAGCTGAAGAATGAATAAGATAGGTTGGATGGATGTTCATCTTCCTCCATATTTTTTTTTGTTTGGAGCATGTGTCTCTAACTCCTCTCACTCTTCCCACTTTCTCCCAGCAGCTAATCCTAAATCAAGTTGCCTGCAGTGTGTTTCCAGCAGTAGAGCAGAAAATAAGCTTCATCAGAATAATTCTCCTACTGTGTTGGAGACCATAGATCCAGACCCTAGACCACATAGTTAGTTCCTGTTCTTATTAGTGCCTGTAATGTTTTCATTGTAGTTTGCTTATTATTTACATTATCTTCCAGCTAGAGTCAGCATTTGGAGAGAAATAGTGCCAAGGGAAGGCTTCTCACCTCACTAATGCTAAATCATGGCAATCATGATAAATTAATTGTAGAATGAGGTATGGGTTTGAGGAACAAAAGAAAACCTGTTGCTTAATAAAGTTTTAAAGGATGCTTCATTGTTGATTTTTAGTTGAAATTTAATGTTAGGGCCCTTGAATGATTTGTCTGTCTCCCATTTCAGAATGATGGAAATGCATTAGCTTATCAGTATTGGCTTTTCATTCATTTTGAGAATGCAATTGACATATTTGTGTGAACTATAATTGGCTACTTCATTTCAGGAGTTTAATTAATTCAAAATGGTTGAGAATAATTTTGAGGTTTGTGGAAAGCAGTGTAGTATGTGTGTAGATTTTGCAAAATAGTTGCTAAGCTTAAATGTTAGCAGACTTTTTATATACTGAAAACTAACTTTTGTGCATAGGTACTTGGAAATATTCTGAATAATAGAAATACTCAGAAAATACAGAATCACTGTTTTTCTTAATGCTATCCATTTTTCACAGTGAATGTTATTCTTTAATGAACATTATATTGTCGATTATTTATCTGAATTAGTATAGCATTGAAATGCAGCAAAATGTAATTTTTCTTCTTCTTTCCCTAGCAATGGCAAGCCGGCAGGTAGACATCGCTACTCAAGGATGGTTCATTGGTCTTATGTGTGCTGTTGCTCTTCTGATCTTGATTTTACTGATTGTGTGCTTCATAAGGAGGAATAAGGGTGGCAAGTATCCAGGTATGCTATTCAACCAGGGTAGTAAAATTTATCTGTTGGTAACCCACTAAGACAGATCTCAGGCTTACCTGTTTAGGTAAAATTACATTTGCTGCTGCTTTACATTTACACTGTGTATATGGCAAATCAGTCTTATCATTCCATGGCTTGGCATGAGCCATCTGCCTCTTGGTAGGAAACCTACATCTATTTCAGCATAGGAGAAGGACTTTCTTATTTCCCAGAGAGTCCTATCAGTGCATGACCTCCCTAGAGAGGTTTGAGCTTTGCTTGGAATATCACCACTTGTGATGTTGAGTGCACATTTCTTAAGTCCAGTGTAGGTGGACTGTAGTTTAATCCACTAACAAGAGCTGAGTTAGAATTTATCTGGTCAGAAAGTCCAAATCACAGCTTCTGGTAACATCAAAGTATGGGAATGTATGTCATAGGGACAAATCTCTTCCTATGTTATATTGTTTCCAATACCCTGAGTTCTTCCCAGAATCTGTGTCATCTTCAGCCTCTGCAGTTTTGCAGCTAAGTTTAAAGTTACCATACTTAAGTTAGGCTGGGGGTTTTTTTCTATATTTTTTTCTTTCTAAAAAGAGTTGTAAAATAAATGCTTTTTATAGTATGTCTAGGAGTGGCCAAGTATGTTTTTTAATTTTTCATTAAAAATTGTAACTACACAATGCCTGCCTTCTATCAAAACATGTATCCCTCCTGGTGTTCATTACGAAAGGCATGTATGTGTATGTATGTATGTGGACATATAGGTATCATATATATCTTTCCCTAGTGTTATATTTCTTTCTATGGAGTAGCTCCATAGACCAAAGCTCTCTTGAAAAGGATAGTGAGAAGCAGTTTGCACAGTACTGCCAGAGAGTACTGCCAACAGAGCAGCTGCTGAGGTGTGAGTGACTATGAATGAACTTCAAGTGAGCACCCAGGGATAATCTGATTTTTCATTCTCCTATTCTAGCTGCTATAGAAAGCACAGTTGCTAAGTTTCATGTGAAATCTTGATTTAATAAAAAAAATATTTTCTCCTAAGGTTTGGGAATAGATATCTAGACTCTAGAATGCTTATTTAAAGTCAGCTCAAACTTCTTGAAGTTCATACTGTTAATTTGGGCATGAAAAAGATGGATACATTTAGAAAAGTATAAAAGAAAAATCCACTTTGTTTTATTTTATTCTGCTTATTTTGATCAGTGCACTTCTAAAAACTTAGTGTCAGAGAACACTAGGAACTTCAGCTCTTCATAGGGAAATCTGCTGGAATAGAATAGCAGATGATTTTTATGAGAAAATCACGTTATTAAGTACTAGAATCCTGTTCTACCCAATCTAAATGTTAGATTGTTTTACAGAGAGAGCAAAGATTTGTAGTGACAGCAAAAATTAGGTAAGAGAATTTTCTGTTCCAGCTGCGTATGCCTATGAAGAAAACAGATTATTAAGGAACACATAATGTTACCTAGAGTTTTATGACAGGCTGCAGACATCATCTTAGGGGGTTTTTGCCTAATATTTGGATTTTTTTAAAGAGAAAATGAGATAACAGAGGATATAGAAAAAGTGATCCAGGTGACTGAAACAAGTGAAGTGATGAAACTGAAAAGAGTAGGGAGGACATGGAGTGAACCACCATCTAGAGGAGGGTAAAACAGATGTTTTAAATAAAAGTTTAGAGGGCAGTTGGATGCTAAGGTTGTCATTACTTTGTGGATCCTTGATATTGCTGCTTCTGCAGAATTATTTGTTGCAAGGTATACATGTTTTCGTGCACAGATACCTATGCATATACACATATGTATGTAAGAGACCTGATTGTTTTTAAGATTCCCAGAATCAGCATGTACTGGTGTTTATAGCATTGACTTTGTATTTCTTGGGTCATTGCAAAGGTGCTGTTCCACAGGTAGTGCCAAATCGAAAGCATTAAGTTATGAAATCTATGAAAATTTAAGTTATGAACTCCTTTTCATCATAATTTTTGCGTGTCATCTTGAGGTTGCCTGTGGTTTGTAGGAAGTAATCCATTACTTCAGTATGAAATTATAGTGGCCTGATATGTCTCAAGGCGTTATGTGTTATTGCAATTATGGACTTAGTAAATACTGTCAGGAATTATTAATATCCTCTTAAATAATGGCCCACAAATCAGTGATGTACAAATAAAGTGTGGAAATTACCAGAGTAGAAGACAAGAGATTGTGTATTGGATTATATGACTGTATCTGCTAGACAAGGGAAAGATTTGAATAGATGCCAGAAAAACAGAAATGAAAAGGCAAAGGGAAGAACCATAAATAGAATTCTTACAGTCAGTATATTGTTTTATCCTATTAACAATGTTAACTTATAGGAATATATGTCATCTGTGAATATCTGACTCCTCAGGTGCTAGTGGGTTTCTGTGTCAATGTGCTACATTTATTATGTTATAGGGACAAGTTAATTTATTCCCACCAGTGAACAAGGATTAAACCTAAAACTGGAATGTGCAAGAAATACATTTTTGTAAAATTTAGGTTCCAGTGTATGTGACTTCGCAGTGGGTTTGACCATGTTGTAGAAAAGAAGAAACAAACCATGCCTAGTATTTTGAGAATTATTAATAATGGAAAAAAACTCTAAAATTCTCTGGAGGCTTACTACATGAAATTAAAGCAGGAAATGTACAAACTGACAGTGAACAAAAGTGAATCTGATTCAGTTTTATCAATCAGTATGAGAAGAATATCAAGAAGAAATAGAGAGTATTGTTAAGTAGAACTAAATAATTTAAATTTGATTAAGCAATAACTCTATTAATAGTCTCAGTAAATAAGTTATTTTAGTAGGATTTTTAACAATTTTCTCTCTTTAATGCTAGAAATAAAAGAAAGAAAAAGTTCTGCTAATACAAAATGACATACAGTCATACTTGAATGAAAATAAAATCCTATAACTAATTAACAGATCTTTTTCTTAAAAAAAAAAAAAAAAAAAAGGAATAGCCTAAGGCCCCTTTTGAAAAGTTTTTATTCAAAAGACATTCCTGCCAAATGTGATCAGTTTGAGAAATTAAGGTCTTAGACTTTCTCATCTTGCAGTTTCCTGATAAAAATTACTATTTCAAATATTTTAGTGAAGGAAAAGGAGGATGCACATGCTGATCCAGAAATACAACCGATGAAGGAAGATGATGGAACGTTTGGTGAATACAGGTAAGCAGCTTATGTGGTTTGTCATGTTCACTGTTCATGTCACACATGTACTGTATATAGTATGACACTTATTAAGACTAACTTTTTTTTCCATGTCAAAGATTTTGTATCCAGTGTTATTTAGAACTAAAAATAGCATTTCAACCACACCATTAGAAAAAAATTATCCAAGCTTAGTATAAGCCATTTGCTAATGCAAGGTGAAAACCACATTCAAACACAATTGTATGTGTTCAAATGCCAGATGCAGTGTCCTTTCAGTTGGGGCACTATGTTGAGCATTATAGGTTTTGAAAATAAATGTCTAACTGAAGCCTAACAAAGACAATCTGGTGTTAATTTGACTGGAAAACAAATGTATTTAAAATACCTGCCAGCACTAACATCTAATCCAATAACAGAGGTGATGTTATACACAGAGGTGAAGGAGTGTCCTACAAAGAAAGCAAATCTCCCTTTCATGTATTTCAGTACAAGATATATGGCAAGCAGCTTCAAAGCATGTAGCACAGCTCTTAATTCCTGGCACTCTTCCTTTATACTAGCCAAATCTGGCATTACCAAAAGCATACCTTGGCAAGACTATTCATACAACAACTATGAATATAGCTTATTAAATAAGCAGTTTATTTGTTTTTTTTATTAGTACAAAAATAATGTTATTATGTTGTAAATAGGTCAATATGATTATATTTTATGTGGGTATGAAATAGATTTTGTAGTGCATTCTTGTGTCCAAAGCAGTGTAGAAGTTCTTTATTATTGCAAAGATTTGGCATTTACAAATGTACATAGAAAAAGCAGATTTTTTTCAAGAAGAATCTACTTTGTTGCCATAGCTGCTTCACAGAAGGAGAAGGTACATCTTGATCTGACAGGACTAGATGTACAGTTCTGAATGCTAAGGAGCAGTTTCTGTTTACTCTTCTTTGATGAAAAACAATATACTCCATTTTTAGGTTAATGAGTTCAGAGTAGTATTTTATTACATCTGTAAGTGCATATAAGTTACCTAAATTCACCTGATAAAAAGGGACGTATGAAGCAGTCTTTGGAATAGAGTTTAAAAAGTACTATATAAGTTTTCCTGGGAAGCCTACTTTGCATACTCCTTCATTGCTCTACTGGTTCTTGATACTTGGAACTTCCAGCAGCAGAAACTGACCTTTGTACAGAATTGTACAAATTATATGACCTCAATGCATGTTTTCTCTGGCCTGGAATAAGTATTCAAGCCTGCTTTCATGTGTAACCTGTAGCAAGATTTGAATTTACATCTCCATATTTAAGTGGCTTGAGTTAATCTAAAGAATGGTCTACAACTTTATTAAATTATTTTATAATGCATTTATTCACTCATGTCTAGTGAATATGGGCAGATGCATGCCAAGCTTTCACACTTATTCACATGGGAGAGTTCATTCTATGTACCCTGCAAAAACTCCTTTTTAAAATGTATTTCTGTGTAATTAGTCTATATTGGGCTTTCCTCTTTTTTCCTTAGAGACAGGGCAGGAGCAGCAACCAGTCAGATTACAGAAGATACCTTGTCATCCTCTCTGCAGCCCAGCATCACTGCAGTCACTCAGTTCCCAGTTTGTCTGCCTCACATGATGCGGTGCTTCTTTGAGGAAAAAGGGTATAGGGTTTCCCTTGGAAAAAAAATGTAATTTTTGAAAGATCTAGGAATTCGAGTATTTTGAACTTTTTTCATCACTTCAGGTCCATGTCTGCTTGGACAGGAAAGAAACTGGACAAGGAAAAGAAAACAAAAGGTAGCTGTGCCAATTCTCCTGAAGCAAACCCTGTCTTTACCAAAGCAAAGTCTGTGAGATCTGACAGATCCAACTTCTTCAGAAGGTCAGGGGATCAATACTCCAGCACCAGATCAGAGACCTCCTACACCAGGAGGAGGGCTAGGCAGTCTTCAGAGCTTACAAGGGTTAGTTCTGTCTCTGCTTCCCTCTGCCGAGAGAAAAAGAGATCAGACGGATGGAAGTACAGGCATGGCTCTAGACATCATGCTTCTGAGCAACACATAATGGGGTCGGAGGAGGGCTCAGATTCTCAGGCAGGACAGCCATCCCCTTTCCAGCAACCCCTCAGCTGCAACTCAATTGGTGGCTTACTGGGAAGGCAGCATTCTTCTCTCCAGCACTGGTGCAGCCAGACCCCAGACTGCAGCTCAGATTCAGAAGACGCTCAGAGCTCCTGCCACAGGAAGGTAAGACCTTCTACTGCTACTCACTTCTCCGAATCTGAAAAGAATTCACTAATGAAATCTGTAATCTTGCCTGAGCTGGCCACTGTCTTAAAGGATGCTTTGACAGCAGCCAGACAAAGCATAACATCTGTGGCACAGGCTAGGTCCCATTCAGTAAAGCATCCCAGGGTACCAATTGCTGAAGTTCCACTGGTTCCTTTAGAAGCATCTGGGAGCAGTTCCCAGACTTCTGAGTTTGATCATATGGACAGCTTAAAAGATCAAACTTCTGGGAAGGAGAAACCTGAGGCTGACAAGGCCTTGGATGTTGAATCAGCCCCTGAAGATGGGGAGGTGGCATCTGAGTCCCCTACAGAAGATCCAGAAGGACCAGATCCTCTGCGTAAATTTGACATGGAGAAACAGAATTATCTTTTTGAACACATAAAGAAGGTGCTAATGCTAAAATCTTCCAAATCTGAATGTGCCTCTGAAGAAGGCAAGGTAGATAATGCACTTCCTATCCATTCAGCTGTGGAAGATCTTGTCTGCAGGATTTGGGGAAATCCTGAAGCCAAGCATGAAGCCCCACCAGTCCTACATGAGCTCTATCCTTTTCCAGTGGATAAAGCTGCTTTGTGGGGGACCTTGCCTGAGGTAGACAGAGCATTGGTTACTGGTAATTGTACACCTGATAATACAGATGCTCTCCCTAAAGATCCTACTGACAGAAAGATTGAGGAAGCAATTAAAAGATCTTTCAAGCTAGTTACAGCCCAGCTTGGAGTATCTATCTACTGCACTTATGCTTCTAAAGCTTTGCTAATATGGTTAGAGGAAGAACAAGCTAGATTCAAAAAGAAGTGGGTCCCATCTGGTGCCATGCAGAGAAAACGCAGGCTGTGTAAAATTGCAGCTAATTTTATCCACGATGCAGCTGAGGATTCTCTTAGACTCACTGTTAAAAATGTGGCATGCCTCACTGTAGCCTGGAGAGCTCTCTGGCTGCGTCCTTGGAGCCCATCACTAGATCTGAAATGTAAACTGCTGTCTTTACCATACACAGGGGGCAAGCTGTTTGGTGAATCCCTAGTCCAGATCATGCAGGATGTCTCAGAACACAGGCACTTCTTACGTCAGAAGAAAAAAAAGAGCTCTGTTGGAGGCTCTTCCTGTTCTCCTCACAAGTGTCTGAGCTCCTTGCGTTCTCCTCCAAAGTTCAAAGGAGGGAAGGGAAAGTATAAGGTCTCACAGTCGTTTCATGCCAAGTACGAAAAAACATCTCACTTTCAAAGAGATATCAGACCATCAAGAGGAACTTTCTAAGAACATAGACTTGATTCCTAGTTTCACAGGAACTGAGAAGAGTGAAAGACATGGAAATGTTTCAATATTTCAATAAACCCAGTGCTTAGAAAATTAGTTGTTTTCCAAGTAAGATTTCAATTATGAAGTTACTTAAATCTTAATGACTAATTAAGATATTCTAGAGAAATCATAGCTCTAAAATCCCTTCTGTTTAGGGGAGGATTTTTTGCATTCGATTTCTAGTCTTTCTAGTGGTCTTAGGATGGTTTGGATTTGTTTGAAGTTTTGCACTCCTCAATTTCAACTGAGAGAATACTTTCTGTGTGAGAGTTGGCTGGTGTGTAGGACCAGACAACATCAGATTTTTCTGCCATATTGATCTAATGAAGGAAATAATGCTTTAGGAAATGCAGGTGTTTGGGGAACTAAGGAATGACTATGGCTGCTATATTCCTGTGACTGGGTGGATTCCTTCATTTTTAAATAATAAGGGAAAACAGTGCCTCCGTAGCAATCTGCTCTGCACTCTCAGTGGTTTTCTGAGTTGTAGAAGACTGAGACAGTAAATTGTGGACAGTCATTGTCTACATCAAGAACCTGCAAGAAACAGAAGAAGTACCACAGATGTGTGTTGAGATCAGCATACGTGTAAATAAGCCTAAATTTTCCTTCTGGTCCATAAATGGAGAGAAGTTAAGAAGTTATGACAGCTACAGACCCATGAGTTCATAGGTAGAAAGACTGGAAGCAAGCAATTACAAGGGAAGGTTGAAAGTCCAGTGGTCTGCAGAATGTTCTTAGGAAGATGAAACAGGACAAGGCAAATACAGTAGTGGAATTGCTGCTGTGGTAACTCAGGATATTTGCGCATTTTGGTGAATTATTTTGCCTCTTTTCTTTAATATTTTGACACACAGTGTTTTTCCTAGAAATTCTAGGACATGCTGTGAGACACTGTGGCAGAGAGTTCTGGGATTGCTAGATAATATATTACTCTTCCTTCTTTTTCTGAGTTGATTAACAATTAAAATAAAATTTGTAACTACAAGTGTAGGGTTTTTCTCTTGTAGTTACTTAACTTGCAGCTTAGGTGTGTTTCCATAGGGGCCTAGCCATGATTTGTGCCTCAGGACTGTAATTCTAAGCTTGGTCCCTTCCAGGGCAAGAGATTATCTCAATGGAGATTATCTGAAGAGCTGAACAGTCCAACTGGATTTGGTAGTGGTCTTACTGTGTTCTAATTTACGCAGATGTACTTTCTTTGACAATTCTTGTTTTAATTCTTGAATACTTGTGTGATTAACAACTTTTTCAGCACATTGCTTTTTAAAGCCAGAGCTTCATCACCCAGTTTTTCCAGCTTCTGCCAGGATTGAAGATTGAGTATTACAGAGATGTTAATGAAAAACTACTCAGAAGACTGATATAGTTGTGCTTAAATAAGAAATAGTAAAATGGTTTGAAGTCTGGATTGACTGTAATAATATTAGGACTCACAGTCCTAATAATTTAGGAGTGTCAGCGGAAACCTCTTAGGTGTAGGGACAGATTCTCCTGGAGTATGCAGGGAAGCCATAGAGGAAGGTATTTCTGTGACTTTACCTGATAGCTTTTATTTAAACATTTCTGGGCTATTGACCTGAGGTCACAGAAAAAAGGAATTACTGCCAACCGTTTTCATCTTCTGCATCCACTTTCTGAGTCTCATAGCCCAGAATGATTTTCCCACTTTGTTTCATGTTGCCTTTCACCTGACAGTTGTGCTGTAAGGAAAAGTAGTATATTGCTAACCATATATTGAGTCTTTTTGCATGTCTATGAATGTGGCAAAGTTTAGTTGGGAACTAGTTGCCTGCTGGACTGCAGAGGCATCGTAAAAGTGTCTTCCCCATTCTGACTGGTTGCTGCATGTACCAATATCTAAGGAAGAAAAATTGAAAAGTTGAAAGAAGAAAGGAGATTTCAAGGTACATATTTCTTTCAATAACTTGTAAGCTTGTGAAATGGAATTACCTTTTTTTAAACAAATAAATTTTTACTTTGCACTTATGCTATTGTTACCTTCATACTTCTTATATCTCTTGATAATTAACTTCAAGTTTGATATGTTTCATTAAACTAAGAAGAGAAACATATTCATATAATAGCAATCATTAATAATTAATATTTAAATAATGCTTTTAGAGTATGCTTTAATAGTAAACACTTTTCTTACTGAAGTGTATGTGCTACATATAAGTACTTATCAAAATGAATGCTACATATGAGTCTTCTTTGAGAAATTTTCATCCCTAAAAAGCTACTAGTATGGAATTTATTTTTACAGCAAAAAGTAGTAAAAGTATGGCTACACTTAATTTCCATGGCTCTAAATAAAGCATTCATATCCATTCTCACCTCATGTTTGGTTCCCTTCCAGTATTGTTTTCTGACTATTAATTATATGCACTGCATAAATGACACTTTAAAAAAGCTTCTTCAATTTGCCACTGTAATTTTAGTCAACACAATTTGCACTTTTATTTTGTAATATCACAATATTACACTAGGTACATAATAAAAGTCAGCAAGCAAAACCACAAACAGAAACAGAAAGAAACTATGATTTATCCTGATTGCATTGTGGAATAGTTTTATGAACAGGTGTAAGCAAGGTTGGCAAACCTTGTGGGTACAAAATTTGTGGCTTTACCATGTTTTGGCAATATAATACTATAAAAATTCTACAGCCTGAAGTGTTCTATAGCTCTTGCTAATGTAATTCAGCAGCTTTTGCAGTTTGCTTCTTGGCAACAAACAGATATTACATTCATTTTGCCAGACCACCAGAGCCCCTCCTCTTTTTTGAATCCCCAGGGTAGCACAAGTGTTGTCCAAAACATTGGTGTGTTCACTTTTTTCTCCTTCTATTTGTTTGGTTTTTTCATCTTTCCTTCTCAATTTCTTTCTCTTCCACACAAAACACTGTGTTCACCTAAGAGTCATAATCCAGTTTGATACAGAAAAAATGGTACCGTGGCGTATGTTATCTGTTCTGAAGTGTTCCAGGAGTGTTGGATAATCCCACTTGTTTTTCCACTGCTAGAGTCGTGGCAGAACCTCTCTCTAGACCTATATAGTGCAACAAGTGAAGGAATCCCCGGGTTCAGATTTGATTTTTGCATTTGCTGTGACTGTGCTCTCACACCAGTGCCCACCTCCATGCGCATACACTCCTGGGTAAATCTGCAGTTGTTTTTGCTTTTAATTACAGAGATTGTAGAATTCACATCCTGACTAAAATATAGAAAAATCTTATACTCAGTGCAACCAACTGTGTAAGTATTTCTTCATTGTTTGTCTTATGCATAAACTTCATTTCCAGAAATATAAATAAGGAAACCGGAAGAGCAACACAAAGCAGAAGTTCTCATCCTCAGATTTTTCTACATTGTAATGGCAAATCAAGCTTTTCATTGGATTAAACACAAAAATGTTGTTGTATTTATACATTAGCAGCATATTGTTTATGTATATTCTAACCTAGTGAATTACATTGGCTAGGGTCATACTTCAGAATATTTGTGCAGAGATTCATGACCAATCAGAATATGATACAATTGCAATTTTAATTTCTTTTAATGTCTGTGTATTATGGTGTAAAGAATTGTGAAGTTATTCACCTGAAGTTAAACAGCAAACCATATACCAGTGCTCTTTCTTTAACAGTTTAACCGAGAAAGCAGATCTTCCCTGGGAGTAGGACTGGTTACAATTTCAAAAGAAGGGCCTGGCCTTCATTTGATTCATGCAGCCTGTTTTAATGACTCTTAATGCCTTCTGATGGGGGTGTTGGAGAAACTGCATGGTGTATGAGTATTTAATACTTGATTCCATCTTCAACCTTTTAAATATGGGGTCCTTCCAAAATGAACTCTCTTCAGTAATGTCTCTGTGATCTGCTTGTGTTCACAGTGTTACAAACATTTTCACTCTGCTGCTGGATTCTTGAAGTTTTGGAGTACAGTCTTTTAAACATTACTGGCCTGTATGTTTGCAGCACTAGTGAGCACAGATCAATGACATTTATCCTCGTGCCTTGTACACCACAATAAGTAAAACATCAAGCCTGATACAGTCGCATTTGGAGGTTTTGCTTTTGTGTGCTTTGAGCATAAGGATTTTCTTAGTTGTAAATAAGAGAGATATTCCTACCACTTTTTTTCTGCTGTATATGCAGAATGATAAAATCTCTCGTGTGCTTTTTCTGTAAGTATATGCATATTAGAATTGGCCTTCTTTTAGAATTTAATAACTTAGTGTTTTCCAAAACAAACAACCAATAAAAAAAAAAAAAAGGTGGAGGAGAAATGGCTTGGTGGAAAATGGGTATAATGGTTTTCTAGCAATGGTTTCTCAAGAGGGCTTTTGTTGGCTAACTATATGATCTGATGTGGCCTTGTACATCCTATGTTTTATATATCTATATATGTTTTCTCTGGGTGCTTAAAAGTATTAATTAGAAAAAAATTGCATTATTTTATAAGATATTAGGTTTTAGGAATTAGAGGGTTAAAATAATTTGCTGAGTATATATTCAGCCTAGTGTTCTAGGAATTGCAAAATGTAATTTTGTTTCTTTAATATTTTGTATTTATTTCTTTATATTTCTCATAAACTGTGAATCTAAATAAAAACCCCAAACCACTTCCTTTTTTTTTGTACCCTATATGCAAATCAAGTCATATGTTCTGTTTAAGACAAGGTAAATAATTGCACCCAAAAGTGCAGGGTTTCAATTCAAAATGCTTTGGAGCTGCTGCTGAAATCCTCATCTTGACACTGAAGTGCAATGTAAAGGATTCTGAAAAGAGCCCAACTGTATCTATTTCATGAAATACAAGCCTACCACAGCTGCCAATTTATTTGAGGATGTTGATGGTGCTGCAGCTTTTCCACTGACAAAGGAAAGACCACAGTACTTTGCTACAGAGATCTCCGCTATTGGCCTTTCTTTCCTTTCCTTTTTGCGTTGTCCTCCAAATCACCATCGTCATTGTCAGAACATTATCAGCCATAGAGTAGGGTAGGGAGATGGATCTGATAAGAAATGAGAAAGACTAAGCATGCTCTCAACTCCTCAATTCTAGCTACTGTAAGCTAAATTGTTGCTTTACCTGTAATACAGTAAATATTGTAGAAATTTTAAGAGCAACTTATCATTGATACAATACTGATCACTATCAGGATATGGACTTTGCTTTTCTTCTTAGGCTATTTTCATTTGTTTCTTCTGCACCCTTTTAATGGAATATGTAGGTCTCTTGAAAGGTAAGGTTGAAAATTGCAAGTCTGGCCTGCATTATGTAACAAATTATTTGAAATGCAGCACTTTTATTTTCTTTATACTAGTAAAGAAAATCAGTATATTTCATTTAACCGAATTCATTCTTCATTCATTTTCAAGGAGTCAAAGAAATTAAGAAGTTTAACAGACTAACTTCACGGCACATCATAAGCTTGTTACTTTGGAGAACAAACAAATTATTTTTTTATAGCTTTACAACCCACTTCTTAATGCTTGCAGTTGCATCTACATGGCCTCCAAGCCAAGGGCCCAGGTCTTATCACTGAAAAGCCATGCACGATGGGGAAAAAAAAAATAAAAGAAACCACAACTCCCCCTCCCTCCACTGAAGACATTCTCTGTTTAAACCATTCTTACACCATGTTTTCATATGAACTACATCATATTGATTTGTCTCTACAATGTGATGTGGATTTACTAAAGGATTATAGGGCTCCACACATGCTTTTCATAAACTCTGCATGCATGGCTGATCTTTTCTTAATAAACAATACATCCGTTAATCCCATGTTTGTTTGTTTGTGTCTCCAGCGATGCAGAGGACCATAAACCTCTAAAAAAAGGAAGCCGGACACCTTCAGACAGAACTGTGAAAAAAGAAGACAGTGATGATAGTTTAGTTGACTATGGAGAAGGTGTAAATGGTCAGTTCAATGAGGATGGCTCCTTTATTGGACAATATAGTGGTAAAAAAGAGAAAGAACCTGCAGAAGGAAATGAAAGCTCTGAGGCTCCTTCTCCTGTAAATGCCATGAATTCATTTGTGTAACTACAGAACTTGATCCCCTTGTATCTCCAGTTTGCTTAAAGCACTTGTACATCCTCCTTCTCATTCTATGAGCACGCAGGTAATGGAGCTCCTCACCACCAGATGTTAATGCTATGAGAATATGCAGGTTAACACCAGTACGCAGCATAATGACACAGTAAGTGGTATGTTACTATGAATCAAAATAGAAAATTCCAATTTTGTTCAAAACTTGGGTATTTTTACTTTTTTTTAAAGGAACTGACACAAACGGTAGCATCAGCTTGTAATTTTGTTTCCTGTTGAAAATACAGTATAATGCATGGAAAAAAAACCCCTACACAACTTGCAGGTAATCTTGTGTACACTATAAAGACATGGTTTGACAATTTGTTATGCAGTCCTCAGCTGAATCCCTGGATATGAATTCCGTTCTCAATGTCAGAGTGTTATAGTAGTATTATATAGAACTTCAATGTCTTTGTGGACATTGTTGTGAAATTGGTGACTTAATGTCTAGCTATCATATGTCTTTTTGCAAGACAGTTAGGAACAGTATGTACAGTATATAAATGCTAAATGATTTAAGTATGACACTTGCATTTGCTGATGCTTAATGAGACCCTATTATCTGCTCTTTGCTCCTATTACTTTATAGCCTTTTTAATCTATCAAGTATTACAGCAGTACAGTGTTCTATTTTTACATCAAAACATATTGAATTGATTTTAGGGCATAAAAGATATGTATTGCAATGCATTTTGGAATTTGTACAGTCACTGAAAGAAAAACTTTAAAAATTAAGGAAAATATTCCAGAAAACACAGGGCAACATACAGGCAACATACATTCAGTGCCTTCATGCCAATATGCATTCCGTAATGCGCTGTACTACTAAATCAGTCGGTGCAGTAAACTGTGATTAGCAGACTACTGTCATTGCCAAATAAAGGAAAAATGTGAAGAAAAAGAAGTGTTATGAAACTGTTGTGCTAAAAATGGAAAGTTTAAAATCTTTTAAATTGCATAAAGAAGAGTATGATTTTTTTCCCCTTTAAAAAAAGCTTCATACGCAGTTACAGCACAACATGTTTTCATGGCCTTAGAATACTTAAAAATGAAAACAAACAAACAAAAAAAAAATCCCAAAACGCAACCAGAGTTAAATTATTTACTAACAAAGCAAGGTGTAAGCTCTTGTAAAATAAATCATTAAAAACCCAAACCAGCTGACTCCATCGGTGAGAGCACATTTCTCCCTGTGTTCCAGCCTGATCAGTGTGGCAGCTTTGTAATTATCTCCAGCCTGAAGCAGTGTGGGGGTTACCACTCAGAACCACAGCATTCCATCTGACAAGTGCTAATACGGTTTATTGGTAAAGGATTACCCTTATTGGTTACAAAATTATTTTCTCGGATACTAAATCAAATGTTTACCTCCAAATATAAATTCTTATAACAACCTATGGTTGAAGGAATGCTCAGTTTCATTTGCCAATAAATTGGTTTTTCATAACTTGCATCAAGTTTAATTTTAAGTAAGCTTTTTATATGTAGATATTTTGTTGAATTTGTAAATACACTTAAAGCGTAGTTGCTATATGCTTCTAGGTGTTCCAGACAAATAAACCAAGAAAGCTTATGTTGTACTGTGTAAGAAGATCTATAGCCAATGGTGTGCATGATATTTTAAAGCATCTACTTAATTTTTCCTTTTTTTTTTTTTTTTTTTTTTTTTTGTGCTGTGAAAATAAAATAGCGATCTGCTCATTTACTGCAGATTCCAGCTGAACCATTCAGAGCTTTTGCCAGTGCACTACATTAGCCCAAAGGACACCTTGCAGCTTCCATGTATATATTGTAGGTAAAGCACAACTGAAATAATCCCAAATGTAACCCAGCTGTAATAAGCTTCTTTTGCACCTTTGAGCTTTCCATTGGTCAGTTTTTTTAATGGGAACTCAAATACAAAATGAATTATATGAACACTGATTACAAAGCACAAAGAGAACATTTCTTCACAGGATTTGCCAATGGTTTTGGTAAAAAAAGAAATATCATTTTACTCTTATTTAATTGTAGATGCTGAATTATCTGTGCATGTGGGGGTAAACATACAGGCTCACTTCTGTAATAGTGCAACGGATTTTGTATTAAAAATAAATGTGGTTTTAAAATTTCACTGTTTGTTCTGTTTACACTAGCAGTAAAAATCACTTTGGATTAGTCCTGTAATTAAAAATTCAAAGCAGAAAAACAGCATGAAGGAGCTCTGACAGAAGTTGTTCCCATTACTGCCACCAAATTTTATACAGAAAGTTGCATACCTTCACATGCTACCATTTGAAAAAAATGGTAAATTTGTCTGACCATTTCCCATTGAAATCTGTGATTTGCATTTTACTTCCATGGATGTTTTTATTATTTATTTAGCCATATTACTGCAAAGAAAAGAACTGAAACAGTCGTGTTCCGTACCTGTAAGAGTAAATAAGAGAAAGTAAGAATGTTGATTTGAAATTAAGAGCCCTCAGATAGGATCCCAAATAAGGATTTTGCATCCTAAAGGAATTGTCTGACAAATTTCTGGTTATCTGTTTTTAAATAGTGTATGAAATGAGGAATTTTTAGTCATCATCTTTTACAGTACACAAAGTCCATTGCAATGCTCTTTTCATATCTTGTCTATCCTATATATGAATGGAAACAGACTGGGAAGGAGGGCAGCTGTTCTGCATAGAAGACTGCAGGAGAGCCATGGATTCCAAGAGATGCAGGTGCTTCAGGAGATGTATCCAAAAGTTGATGTGTGGGCATGATGCTTGAAAGAGGGATCTTATCACTGAATCAGAAGCCATTCTGCCAGCCTTCCCATATGTAATTGGAAACTCCTGGATGTTTCAGCTCCTGACATCTGCACAGACTCAGTTCTGGCACTTCTATCTTCAAATACCTTCACACTACCTTCAGATATCAGCTGCCTTGGTTTTTGTACAGGTATCTGTTGATTTTTGCAGCAATGTAAACTGTCTGGGAGATATGAAATACAGCTGTTTCTGTTTCAATTAAAGAATACTTCCTGAAAAGAGGAGTCTGAGTTCCCTAGGCTCAGTTGGAAAGAAGGATTTCATACAGTAACAATTTTTGGAAACACACATACATAATCTGTGCATGTTCCCCAAAGTGTACTAATACATATAGTTGCTACATTTTTCTTTTACTGATATACATTGCTTTTGATTTTATTCTCACTGAAGTGATTGTATAAATCCTGAGGGAATTAAAGAGGATACCCCAATGGTAATTTTTCTTGTAATCTATTCTCTCATTGTTCCTAGGAAAATACAATTTCCTCATGGTTCCACTTAGCAGAGGCAAAGTGGCAAAATATTTGGGAACCACATTCTCTTTTTATGATGTCTGGTCTATTTTAAAACAGAAGCCCTAGGAATTATATATGAAGAAATATTATCTACCATATAGAAATGTCTTATTTTCTGAAAAGAATGAACTGGGGAGAAAATCAGGAAGGGAATGAGATTCCAATCATTTCTGAAAAGCTATTGTCCTTTGTTGTGTTTCTGTCCCACTCCTCTTTTTTTCCCCCTTCATCTACCTTAGGAAAGAACATTTCAGAGACTTGGCAGAAGCAGGAACTGGTTTTGTGGGAAGATGGAAATAACTGAATGTGCTACTTGTAGGAATCTACCCCCAAATGATGCCCCTAGAATGAAAGTAAATCCAACTGGCCATCATGTTTTAATCTCTGAAGTGATCTCTGGCTGCTCTTTGTACATGAGAAGTGGAAACTTTAGATGAAGCTGTCAAGATAAATACATATCAGCAGGACTAAGACTGACAGTAGATGTGATCTGTTGTGACTGTAAGCAAGGAGAAAAATGGTGACCCCAGTGTTCTCATGAATTTTGGCAGCAAAAATATACACGACGTTCCTTACTGTGCTCACATGTAAATGAGCTGATAAAAAAATTGTGATCATGTTTGATACCTGAAGGATGGATTCTTCATTTGGGGTTGGAGAAGTTTGTGCTGTTGTGTGAATTTGGCAGCACTGGCTTTGTCCCTCTGGGAAAGCCACACAGGATAAATTTGAAGCCAGCTGGCAAGTAATAGGTTTGCACATGTTTAAATTGGAGAGAGGCAGAGCAGGAGACAGCTCCTGTCACCTGGACCCAGCCAGCCTTTTGACCTGCTTTGTCTTGCCCTAAGGTGCTCAAATGAAATACAGAAGTTTAGAAGGTAGTTTCCCCTGCCAGCTGAAAAAAACCCATGGCTTCATGTCAGAAATATAAGCCAGTGCTTGGATTTAATTCTGCCTGGCTTTCTGTCCCATTTTGGATATAAGTCATGAAGAGAAACATACCTGGTCCATGCTGTACAAATATGGGTTTCAGACTTGAGCTTTTAAACAGGAAAAGTTTAGGCAGTCCAGTTCTGGTGCCAAACTTATTTAAAATTACCAGGTCTTGCGCTACATTGAGGAATGAACTACATTTACCTTTGACAGTGAACTGTACTTGATATGTATCTTCCAGAGGGTGCTGCTGTTATTTCCCATGTTTCCAAGACTTCAGAAGAGGGATGCTTTGTCTTTGAAACCCAGTATCTTGCCTGAGAGAGGATAGCAGCCCACTCCTCTGCCCTGTGTTTGCAAAGATCTAAAGGGCTTCAAGACTTCACAGGACTAAGGGAACAAATGAAGTTTTCTAAATATCAGTGTTCAGGATATATTTCAAGTAGGTGTTCTGCAATACATGTACTGTAGTGATAGAGAATTATGGTCTTGCCAGCATGAAAAGTTTGCCTTCTGGTGTGACAAGAAGAGGTAGTGAAAATGGAAATGTTGGGACAGAGAAAATGCAAGAACAAAAGTATAATATGTGAGGTTTCTTGAAAAGAGTTGAGAAGCATCCAGTAGGATAGCTGGCCTGAGTGGTGAAAAGAGAAAAACAGACAAATGGCAGAGGCAGCAGGAGCCCTTGCTAGTGTGGAGCAGCACAGCCTGCTGGGTGCAGACCAGACTATCTGTTGGTGACCATGTAAAATAGATCAATAGGACATCATTCTCCTTCCAGATTTTTTAAATTATTATTTATTTTGTTATTTTTGCAAGAGAGGTAGAAAGACTTAAGACTTCTTTAAGACAATCTTAAAAATGTCTGTCAAACAGATAAGAATTGCCAGAAGTTTGTAGGTTTGGCATAGGGGAAGTACTAACCAGCTGGACAATCAAACACATAATGCAGTTGCTTTAATTTCCTTACTTTTTGAAGTATGCTAAAACTATCTCTTGGAAAGCACCCACTTTCTGCAGGTATAGGACAAGGCAATCTGAAGAGATACTTTTCCCTGTTCTTAGGAATTTGACTAATGGTGTTCCAGCAATAAGAGGAAAGTGGGCATTCTCCTAGGTGTTGAGATAAGGAAGATAAAAGGGAGCCATACAAACTGTTTGATAGATGAAGAACCTACACAACGAGGTCTCCAAACATGGAATACCAGAATTAATGTTTTTAAAGAGATTCTTCAAGAATAAAACTGAAGGCGGGGGGGGGGGAAGACAGCTAATTGCAACAGTTTCTGGACAAGATGAATGTAAAAGAATGCTGGCATGGACAGGAATAGTTTGATTTCCAGTAAGGAGAGGGAAAATGGCCTTTGCTAGACTGTGTGATGGCCTGTAGGCACAAGTACTACATGAAAAGCACAAGAAAACTGGTTACTCTGCCTACAAGTGAATACTATAGCTTTTATTTTCTAGCAGTACAAGCCACAATTTTTTTGGTATAATTATATCACTTGAACAATTAGCCAGTGAGAACTTCTGTTTAGCTGAGAATGTTTATCCGTTCTGTCCTTTTCACTACAGGTTCTTGGTTCCAAAGTTTTGCTTTAATAAGGAAACAGCCTGTGCTGTTCTACTACAATTAGATAATGACCATAAACTTTATCAAAATGGAAACTCATATATATTTTTTGAAAATAAGCTGATTTATCTTTTTTTTATAATGAGGCAGACGAGTCTTCAGTCACTAGCATTTAAGCAACAATTGGCCACTAGAGGGAAGTTACAATTGTTGGTTAGCAGAAGCCCAAAGCATCTTAAGTTCACATTCCATATTAATGGATAAAAATGTGTGTGTGTATGAGTGTACCTATCTATAGATATAAAGGTACTATAAAATAGTGGTTAAAAAGAATAAGAGACAAGTTCATATTAATTTATGCTTGTTTTGCATAACATATTATATCAGTTTATCTGTGCAACAGTGACCTTATTCTAATTCAATCATTTGTTATCATGATTTTAAAATGCAGGGACATTTGGGGCAGAAGTGCTGTTTGAAAAGTAAACTGGCAAGAGTTATTGGTCTTGGTCTGAAATTGCTTGGTCTGAAATTTGGCAGATAGCCGTGTCCCAAAGGCTTTTTTGAGGCAGAATCAGAAGCCAGATGAGTGTCATATTAGGCTGTCGGTTCCCAGGTGTGTGTCTGTAGGTATGTGTGCCTGGCAGCTGTACAATAATAAAGATTTTTAAAATGCTGTTGACCTGGTTGGTGTGTAGCTAACTAGCTCAGCTTTTGCAAATGATGTGAAGCCTACACTGGCACAATGGGTTTGGAAAAGGCGCTGCCTGGTGGTGCTGCTGAACCTGTGCAGCTGGTGGGAACATGTTCCCATGAGAAGTGCAGGAGTGCAGCCTGGCTGGGCAATCTGTAGGGCAGCGGGTCATCTCACTGAGGTACCATACTTGATCTGCTATTGAATTTGTCAGGATTGGCCTTAATCTCTGTGTCGAAGAAAAGCTTAAGGTCTTGCCACAGGAGGATGGGAGCATCTCGTCAGGCAGCAGATTGCTCTCTGGCGGGAGCAGGGCCTGCTCCCCACCCCTGTCTCCGACAGCCTTTAGGCCGCCCCTGTGAGAGCGTGTCCTGGTCAGTGACCAGCGTTAAATGTTTTGATCAGGATGGATAACACACGGCACATTTTCAGTGTCGCAGCCCCAGGAGTCCTGCTGCTCTGAAATGAGATAAAGAAATGCTGAACTGATTCACGTTGTCAGACAGCATCATCTTCAGAGGGACTCTGCCTGCGGGAACCAGCTCAGCACGTCAGGGCCCATTCGTGTGAGGAGGACAGAAGCTCTGCCCTCTGGGACTGGCATCACAGCATCCTTGTGGTGGCAGCGAGGGGTGGAAGGGGGAGGCATCTTCAGGGTGTGCAGGGTGTGCGTGGCTTTGTAGCTGGAGACTTGTTGCATGGATCGAGGCAGCAGAATAAAATAAGAAAGCCTGAGGTGTTAAGAAAATAACAGAAGCTTTCAAAACACTACATTAGAAAAATCATCGTGTGTCTGCATCATACCAAACAAATAGGTGCATGCTGCTTTAGAGGTGGGAATGCAGCCAGAGGTTAACGATTAACAATGAAGAAAATTTAGCAAGTTTTTTTCTTTCTGCTGGTGGTGAGAGCAGAGATGCTGAAAACTGGAAACCAG